CCCTGGGTCCTACATCAGCTACTTCGAACTGGTGAATACCGTTTCAAAATACAAAGTGATTTTTTATTTGCATGAATGGATCGTTTTTTTTATTTAAAATGAATTGAAATAGCACATAAAACTATGAAGAACAGCCAGGGGCCAAGTCCCACTTGCCCGAATGATCCATTTCTGACCGCAGATACGGAAGATCAACGACCAGAAATCAAGGATCAGCGTAAGTGGGACTTGGCACCCGAATTCATGGGTTTGTACGATCTCCTTCACGAAAGCCTTCATTAAAAAAAAAAAAAAAACAAAAAAAAAAAAAACAAAAAAAAAAACAAAAAAAAAACAAAAACACGGACCACATGCTACCAGCATTGATTACAACCCTTAGGGCGATGCAGCACTGATTCCTAGGAGGCCAAGTCCCACTACCGTCTTCCCCCGAACACAACGCACCCTCATTTTGACTGCATGGGACCGGAAAGACGGCGTGTATACGTTCATTTTCAGCGTGCGTTATGTTGGGGGGAAGACGGTAGCAGCATTATTTGGAAAAAAAAAACAACTGCCGAATCCCTGCAGAACCGCAAACCGTAGCCATCGGGCCTGTCTACTAGAAAAGAGCCTAATATCGTCGGCTCAAGCTTTAGACTTCCCTTAGTCGGGTCCTTTGACCCTAATCAGGATCTTGTTCGGAAAAGCTACAGCTAATACATCATCTATTCTACCTGATGCTTATGTATAGCAGACCGGTGGCCGCAACAGCTGAGGAGGGACGGTTCACTGCCAAGCAGGCAGAACCAGCTGTCGGGTTTTCATTGCCAGCTGTGTGGAATGCTATGGTGGTTATCGCCATTTACGGCGCTTCTCACCTTTTTCGTTGATGAGCTTATTGTAATATATTGAGCTGATGCGCTCTTCTTCCTCTTCCTCCTTCGCTCAGGGGATATTCTTCTAATTTTCTGGCTTTCCTTCTTCCTCTTCCTCCTTCTTCCTTCTTCGTTCTTCTTCCTTCTTCTTCCTTCTTCTTCCTTCTTCTTCCTTCTTCTTCCTTCTTCTTCCCCCTCCTCTTCCCCCTCCTCTTCCCCCTCCCCT